GAAATATTTTATTTTATATTCATTACAATTGATAGTAATTTATTTAAAAACTTATTTACGCATAAAGATTATGTATTAAATTTTTCAGCATTACATTGCGCACCGTTCAGAACAATATCGACAACATTTGATTACAGAAGTTTATGTGCTAATAAACAAAACCTAAAATAATCATCTTTATGATAAAATACTTAGATATATTCATGGTTATTTATATATATTCAGACGAATTCATATTCAGATTTAAATTTATTTTTATGTGAATACAGGTAATCAGACAGAATAGATCTTTAAAATAATATGAGAATGTATTTCATATAATTTTTAATTGAGATACCTACTCTTTTTTAATGAGGTATTTATTGCTAATAAATAACTTGCAATAAATATCTACCGAATTATAAGGTATCTTTATGGTTTTTTTTTTTAAGAAAGCTATTGAAAACGATTTTATTAGTTAGTAGGACTCCTTTTTTGCCTAGGAGTCCATGTGGGTTGGCACCAACCTTTTACATATTTCTGCCTTCTAATAGCAGTGCTGTGCTTAGGTCTGAAAGCTAGTAAATTACGGGCTATAAAGCATTTTCATTTTCATCTTAGTCCCCAGATATGAAAACGCACCGGTAGCCTTTTTAGTTTTGAAGTGTGCTTAGGTCTGAAAGCTAGTAAATTACGGGCTATAAAGCATTTTCATTTTCATCTTAGTCCCCAGATATGAAAACGCACCGGTAGCCTTTTTAGTTTTGAAGTAACATGTGGTTAGGTTGACTGTAAGTTCGTTTGCTACTTTAGTATTAAAAAAAGTAAGTCTCTTTATCATATTATGATACTTATTGTTATCCGCCATTTTTGTTTACTACACAACATATAATTATTTTTTACATTTAATATATCCATAATGATTCATAATCATAATACGCTAATGCGCATAAAAAGAGATGATAGAAGCACAAATATGCCAACTTTATGCGAAACCATTCGAATATGGAGTAAAGATTTGTAATTAAGTGTAGTGCGGGTATTATATCTAAGCATATAAGCCTAGGTAGTCTTTTCCAAAGCGAATGGTCACTGGTTTAGGAGTAGCACACCGTAATCTTGCAGGACGGTTAAATTCTGGGAGATAGTTTAGTAGTTAGTAGTCGAGAGATACAGCTAGCAAAATTGTCAATTGTTCTGATCTGTGACAGAAAACATCTGGCCGCCGAGCTTCAGCACGTCGAGCAAGTACTGCAAGACAACAAGCTTCGGGTCCCGCACCTACGTCACAGTGACCGAGTGAAGCCAGCCACAGTCGAGCGTGTGCCTGCTGTACTACCCTATGTCAGAGGAGTCACAGACAAGGTTGGCTACATCTTGAAGCGAGCTTCCATTAAAACATACTTCAAGCCGCTGAAGAAGATTGGTCAATTTTTACCATCCGTCAAGTGTCATATCCCTCTACAAGATGCAGGAGAGTACAAGCTGGATTGTGAATGTGGTCTCTCGTACATAGGACAAACAAAAAGATCTATTAAAACCCGCGTTAAAGAACATATAGCTGACGTGAAGCACCGACGTATCGGGAAGTCTGCAGTTTGTGAACATGTTCAAGATCGTCCCCGCCATTACATTAGATTTGATAGACCACAAATCCTCGCAGAAGAACACCGATTCCTCCCAAGGATGATTCGCGAGGCTATTGAAATTAAAAAACATCCTAATTTCAATAGAGAAGATGGATGGGTGCTGCCATCTGCTTGGGATCCCATAATTAATAAAATCAAATCCAAACCCAAGTATACCACTGCTAGACTTCAAGATATTGTAAGCTCATTCTGCGTAAATTGGATCAAAAAAAATTAATATTAAAAAACTGAAGGTAGCCGGGCTAACTATGACAGCAGGACGTCAAACACCTCAGTCCCCCGTGACCACGGGTGCTGGAAAGCACCCGAAACGTCGGGAATATAAAAATAGGTTAATATACGCGATAAAATCCGTAAAATTAGTTTTATTTAAAAAGTGAAATCATGTTTAAAAAAAGTCCCGCTGGGTTTCTTGCTGGTTCTTCCCAGGACAGAGGTATTTTCCGAACCAGTGGTAAATAAAAGAATGACTTTCAATAAGTATTATGTAATAATCAATATTGAATAAAAATCATTCTATTCTATTATATTCTATTCTAATGCCGTCAACACAAATATAGCAGTTGTGAGCAATGGCTCCATTTCTTTCTATGGTCTGACGACATGGAAAGAAAGTCAGCTCCTGGTTTAACTTTTAAATGATGCCAGTAAATATTTTACAAAATCTGAAAAATTTCTTGCTTAATACTTTTGATGAAAATATAACGAACACTATAGCATTAAAAGTTTTGTAGATAAGGATATTCTGCAGTTAATCTTCCAACTATGGAGTGTAGAGTAGAAGGAGGACCATCTCTGTATATGAAAAGTGTCCCTAAAAACGAGTCCAATAAGGGTGGCGCTGCAGTAGCATAGGATAAATTAAAAAAAAGCGCCAAAATTTATTACAATAAGATGGAGAAATAAACAAGGACCGACCAATCCGCTTGGTTTTGTACTACGTAAATAGTTGAGGTTTTGTATACTGGCATTTTACTAAATACTCTAGTCATGAAATTTTTTAAATATTTTAATTCAGCTGACTTCACTCCGTCTACAACAGCTATATTCATATCGTAGTTTTTCAGACGCCAGCGCTATTGTGGTTTTGGAACCTCTATTTTCAGTAAATATTGGGACACTTTTTCAACTTTCGCAGCTTATAAGATGGTTCTCCTTCTACTCTACACTCCATAGTTGGAAGATTAACTGCAGAATATCCTTATCTACAAAACTTTTAATGCTATAGTGTTCGTTATATTTTCATCAAAAGTATTAAGCAAGAAATTTTTCAGATTTTGTAAAATATTTACTGGCATCATTTAAAAGTTAAACCAGGAGCTGACTTTCTTTCCATGTCGTCAGACCATAGAAAGAAATGGAGCCATTGCTCACAACTGCTATATTTGTGTTGACGGCATTAGAATAGAATATAATAGAATAGAATGATTTTTATTCAATACTGATTATTACATAATACTTATTGAAAGTCATTCTTTTATTTACCACTGGTTCGGAAAATACCTCTGTCCTGGGAAGAACCAGCAAGAAACCCAGCGGGACTTTTTTTAAACATGATTTCACTTTTTAAATAAAACTAATTTTACGGATTTTATCGCGTATATTAACCTATTTTTATATTCCCGACGTTTCGGGAGCTTTCCAGCACCCGTGGTCACGGGGGACTGAGGTGTTTGACGTCCTGCTGTCATAGTTAGCCCGGCTACCTTCAGTTTTTTAATATTAATTTTTTTTGATCCGATTTACGCAGAATGAGCTTACAATATCTTGAAGTCTAGCAGTGGTATACTTGGGTTTGGATTTGATTTTATTAATTATGGGATCCCAAGCAGATGGCAGCACCCATCCATCTTCTCTATTGAAATTAGGATGTTTTTTAATTTCAATAGCCTCGCGAATCATCCTTGGGAGGAATCGGTGTTCTTCTGCGAGGATTTGTGGTCTATCAAATCTAATGTAATGGCGGGGACGATCTTGAACATGTTCACAAACTGCAGACTTCTATACAGCTATATTCATATCGTAGTTTTTCAGACGCCAGCGCTATTGTGGTTTTGGAACCTCTATTTTCAGTAAATATTGGGACACTTTTTCAACTTTCGCAGCTTATAAGATGGTTCTCCTTCTACTCTACACTCCATAGTTCCAACATTACAATGTAATTGTAATGTTGGAACATTGACTGCAATTTGACAAACAAAGAATGCAAAACAAAGTACCACTTTTATGAAGAAAACATGAGAAATCCCTACTGGAAACATTCCTACAGTTGTAACGCCTACTCATACCCCATAACTTTTGTCTAGGTGCACGATTTCAATGAATCTCTTTTTTATTTCAAAGCTGGTGCTTCTTATGTGGCCCCATATAAATTTTATCAAGGTCTGACCAGTAGTTTTTGAGTTATCCTTAATAATTCATTTTGAAGTCGGTTGCACAAAAATTTTAATTTTACCACTTGTTATTTAGAAATTGATTGCGGCGTAGCTGGCTATGTAAATCTTTTGAAAATGCCTAAAAATTAGAGTTGTATATTTTGCATTAATTATCACGGTTGCAATTTCTTCCTATCTATTGAAATGCTATCAAGTGTGGTGATGATTTGATTCACATTGCAATGAAATAGCTCATCATTTATAACATTTAATTCATTGACTAAAATGTATGTTTATTAAATATTCAAATGTATGATTTTACTATGTCGGAAACATCACTCGAAAACGAAATAATATTTTAAATATTAAATAATATTTATTTTAAGAGCATTGTACTCATATTTGGAGGACTTCCAAGTTAATATGTTGATTATCGGGGATTTTGACTTAACTTTTAGGGGTAAAAAAATTGGAGTTGTTATTTGGTCTACTAAGTAGTCTGTGGTATTTGGTAACACTGTATGAATGTTTGGAGTTTTGGCGGGAACTTGACAGGCGACGGATTGCTGCTCTTCTATTATTGTTTAATTAATGGTTTGAAGTGGTGCAATTTTGTGTATTAAATGTCTGCGCATGTGAACTATTAGTGGAAACGGTGAAACAAGTGCTCTGATGGTGATGCGATTCTCAAGATAAGGCGTCTGTCTGCTTAGGCGCCTTGAGATACCATCTCCAACTGTCAGCTATCTGCTGGCTCAAGTTGCCGTCAAAACCTTCCAAGGGCTGCATAATATGACGCATAAACATATTGTGAAGCAGTGTACTATGAAGGATAATAATTCATTATAACTTCAGGCTCAGAAGGACTAGAACCCAGAGCCGTAAAGCCAGTTATTTAAAAAATGTATGAATGTTTGTTTGATAAATTGAAAAAATCCGTTGTACGTGTTTTCACGTTCTATATTTTTACATAAAATAAATAAATACATTGTGCAAAATGACCTCGTTTGATTTGAATTCGATAACTTCAGCACTCACAGACACAAATAAACCTGAAACTGGTGTAGATTTTTCTGGAAAGTCGCTTAAGTTAGACACTGAAAAAGATGGTAAGTAAGTTTTTCTTAATTTGCTTCTCATCATTTAAGGTATTTAAGTTGAAGCGTATATCCTCCATTTACAGAATAGATTCTTACTAAAACAATGTAATTCTAACACGATTCGAATAATTATTGTAAGCATCTAATCGGACATAACCTTATAGTTTAGTTCAACCGTGGAAGGAAAAGGGGAGTTCTCTCCCGGGTAAGATATTCAACCCGGGGAGCGGCCAACGCTCCTGTGTGTTGTTTCGGAGCTGTTCTATATTTACTTGCCAAGCTTAACATATATCTTTGTAATGACAATTGCTTGTAATGCTTGCATCTTGTGCATGAGGTTGTTGTGGGTTGCATAACATAATTATAAAAAAAAAGCTCTGTGCTATTCCCTTTTCAACCAACTTCAAGAAAGAGGTTCTCAATTCATCAGAATCTTTTTTTGTATGTTCACCGATTACTTGAAGATGCTTGAACCGATTTGGAAAATTATTTTTTTCTTTCAAAGGGTATACTTCCCAGGTGGTGCCATTTATATTTTATCAAAATCGGTTGAGTGGTTTTAAAAAAAAATCAAAATTAAATTAATTATATTGAAGTCAGTTGTACAAAGTTTTTAATTTTACCAGTAAAATTATCAGTGGCCATTATTAAAATAGGTTTCTAGAAAGAAACAGAAAACCTTCATTGTTGTTGTGGGATAAAAAGCATATTTAAATTTAAACTTTTAGCTCAACCAATCATTGATGCAATCAATGCATGCCCGAACTTACAATACCTGACCCTCACTGGCAATACACTCGGGGTGGCTGCTGCACAAGCCATTGCCAAGGCATTGGAACACCACCCGGAGCTGAAGATTGCAAGGTTCTCTGATATGTTTACTGGCAGAATGAAAACAGAGATTCCTCCAGCGTTGGTAAGTTAACAATTTTGTTTAAAATGCTATACTTAATGTACTAGATTGATCAATAAGTATTCCTAATAGGCCACTAATCAATGAGTTATAGAAATGTGTTCTATCTTTTTCGAATCTTAACTTCGTTCCAGCCAAGACCAGAAAAAAACTAAATTAAAAACTATACCCAATTATTTTTTCAAGCTTCACATTTGACAGGAATTTGATTAGAAGATGTCTATGGACTACAGCATCCACTTACCATCAGGTGAACAGTGTGCTCATTTGTCACCCTCATTCTATACAAAACAAGCAATGATGCTGTGATGTGTAGAGGCCTTTTTCGAGTCCCATGATCAAGCCTTTTTTCCTAGGGGATTAACCAACTTGCAAAATGATATTCAAGTATTAGTTTAAAAGACAATTGTGTTGAAAAATAAATACAATTTACATATACTTATCCTAGAGTTTCATTGCATTTCCAAAAACTTATTGATCAACCTCGTATTATTAATTTGTGTAATTGTTTTTAATTATCTTTCTTTTTCTTTTATTTTTACTCTATATAGCTATACCTACGTTAAACTCTCACAACCCCTTGTGTTGACAGGTAGAAAATGCCTCGTGGCATTAAGTCTGCCGTTTATATTCTTTTGTAATACAAAATGTAATAAAGAATAAATAAATAAATAATTTAGAAAATAATTAAAAGTTTAGAAACTGATGTGTCATATTCCAGAGCGCCCTTGGGGATGGCATGATAGCAGCTGGGGCGCGTCTCACAGTTTTGGAGCTAAGTGATAACGCTTTCGGCCCCATTGGTGTTGAAGGACTTGCTAAATTGCTACAGAGTGATGTCTGCTCACAGTTACAGGTGAGTTGTTTTATTCTGCTATGTAATATGCTTATATGTCACTTAGCGAGCTATAGAGAGGGGCTGTGCTCGGAGTTTCTTTCCATTAATAAATCTTTAGAGTGTAGTAGTGATGTAAGAATATCCTCTATATCAGTGTTCTGTGAGTATTGTATGAGGCAACTGGGGGAAGAAACCAGTAGATGTACAGTAGCATCAGCATAACTATATCTAGAAACTAAAAACACTGAGGTTGCCAATCCTTGGTTCAATGCTTGGTAACAACGTTACATATCTGTTACTGGGATATTTGCAGAAATACTATTTACAGAATAAGGGTGACAACCTAATCTTCTGATTTGACTCCAGATCAGAAGGTTGCGTGTTTTTCACGTCGGTGTCACCAGTTTTATGTATCTGATGGTAAGTGGATGCTGTGGCCCATTGACATCTATTCTCCATTAAGAATCAAACTGTAAATGCGTTGTCAACCCCTAAGGACTAAGATGGAATGCCTCCTTTCCAGTAAAACAGGTCTCTGGGTCTCTACACTCATCATTTGAAAGACATAGACCTGCTATTTAATGCTGGTGTCATACAAAATAATCAGTGCAGCATTAGGCTGCTGTTTTATGTTGGTATTCTGCGAGGGTGTGGTCCTTCCCCATTCGAGCTGAGTCATTCGTGTTGCAGAATGGTTCTTTAACTTATAAGACTGGATATAGATATTTAAGTGTAATGATAATGCTAAATCTTGTTTTTCTTCCAGGAATTGCGACTAAACAACAATGGATTAGGCATCACCGGAGGTCGTTTGCTAGCCAAAGCTCTGGCAGCGAATCCACGGAAACTGCGAGTGTTCATAGCGGGAAGGAACCGGCTAGAGAACGACGGTGCGACAGCTTTGGCACGCGTGTTTCAGGTGCGATGGTTGATAAATAATAAAAACCTTTAAATATTTAATGACAGGCTACATATCCTGAGTTTGAATAACACCAAAAATCTACCACCACTTATTTTACTTTAGGTTTACTGTCAACATCTAAACTGGGAACAATTATTATTAAGGTCATACAAATACTTGTTTTGTATGGAATCATACCTGTAATACTGCGAATCAGTTCTAGGCCACTGTGTCACAGAGCCATCAAAACTTATTTAAACAATATTAGATAAGATACTGACACAAACTTGAACCATTGTTGCACTAGTCAGAAGATAAGATGCATTAAATAAAATTTATACTATTATAATAAATTCGGAGGGGTAGCCGAATTGCCTTTCTGCAATCAATAACACTAATAGTTAAAGTTACAGCCTATTTACGTCCCACTGCTGGGCACAGGCCTCCTCTCATTTCTGAGAGGGTTTTAGGGCAAGGGAGTGTGCGCTGCACTGCCCCAATGCGTGTTGGCGAACTTCACGTCTTCGAATTTTTTGGAACGAAGTTCTTTATCGGATGGTACGGGTTTGGTGGATGGGAGCTAGGCGACAAAAAGTGTAAGATTTTTTCGTCACTAGCCCTTGTGTCATAGTGTAGACAGCCTTAGCGGCGAAATAAGGAAGTGAGATAGAATAATATCCATCTCCCTCGCACTTTTTCTTATCTTGCAATGAAAGAAATATTATTTTATTTCAAATGACGCTTCATTTTAATAGACACTAGTAATTCATTTATTTGTATTTGTTAATCAATAAAGTAATACCTATGTTTATACATATACAATAATAATATACTACGCAAGGAACTTCGTTCCAACCATGTGTTCTACGACACTCACGCATTTTTTTATTTCTCAGACATGCCGGTTTTCTCACGATGTTTTCCTTCACCGCCGAGCTCGTGGTAAATCGGCACTTAAAATTGCAATTAACAATTTCATTGGTGCCGGCGGTGAGAGCCGTGGTAGCTCAGATGGTTAGTGCTCGCTGTAAATTTCACAGTACACAAGCAATCCGGGTTCGATCCCTGCCGGCAATACTAATAGTAAACTATAAAATTTATGAAATCAGTGTTTAGACTCACAATACAATACCCTTTAGCATCCCGTGCGTGTTATAAGAGGCGATATAGGAAACTAGACGAAAGGCGATAGGCAGCTACATCATCATAGTTAACACGCGTGCCAAGCGTGGTAACTATGGCAAAAATCATGGCTATAGAATAGAATAGAATAATGTTTTTATTCAATATTGATCACAAGAAATTCTTATTGATTTATGTTACCACTGGTTCAAAAAAAGTCCTCTGTTCTGGGAAGAACCAGCAAGAAACACAGCGGGACTTTTTTAAAAAAAAAAAATTTACAATATAGATGATTACAAACTATTTACAAAATTTATTATAGAAACAGCTTGGAAGCGACTACCTAATTGCCAGGGGTTATTATGAACCATGTATTCATTTATATTATAATAACCCTTTTTATTACAGTTTTTGTTTAATTAAATATTTAAACTTTGTAGATACCTTGTATATTATGAGACAATCTATAGAATAGCACTATTTATTTATTTATTCTTTATTGTAACACCTTACAACTGTGGTAACAATGGGCAGACTTAATACCTGTTTTATGTTACCGGCATTATCTACCAGTTGACCTGTAGCGTGGTGAGTTATTGTGGCTGGTGGAAACTTTTTTTATAAGGGCTAGAGTCATGCTGCAGCTATATTAATAGGTAGTATAGTTGTAGCATGTATGGGTCGGCTCAACCGGGGAAGGACCACGCTTTCACAGAATACCAGTGTAAAATAGCAGCTTAACGCTGCTGTGTTTCGTATGGTGAGTGTAGAGAACCGGAGACCCTTTTTACTGGTAACAAGGCATTTCTTCTTAGTTCGCACGGGTGATAACGCATCTGAATTTTGATTTGCAAACAAAGATAGATGTAGATGTCTATGGGCCACAGCAACCACTTGCCATCAGGTGGACTACATGCTCGTTTGTCACCCTTATTCTATTTTAAAAAAAAACTTGCTATAAGTTCTCTAAAATATCTTTAAAAATACATACGTGTACATATGTAAAAACTGAAAACAGTCAGCAGGAGACTTTTTACTTTTTGGAGCCTATTGTTGCTTTAAAAAATTTCTAAATAAGAAATAAATTTCCTCAGTTCAAGTTTTCTCGTGTTTTTTACAGACAATGGGCACCTTAGAAGAAATAGCAATGCCGCAGAACGGTATATACCATGTCGGAGTGTCAGCGTTATCAGAAGCGTTCAAACACAATCCTAACTTAAGCTGCTTGAACTTAAATGACAACACAATTGGTTCTAAGGGTGCCGAGGCCATCGCTACTGCTTTGCCAAAGTAAGTATGAAAAAATTTAGCGAAGGAAATTCCTTTTCCTTCTTAACTTTAGAGTTACACTTATCACATTACTGTCTAGTTTATTTTCAAACAAAACAGAAACGCGAATAACATTTACCACATCCAATGGTTAAAGAAAATCAAAAGATTTCACAATTTTCGTTATATTTATACTATAGTAACAATTGCATAAAGTATAGATTAAAAAATAGTAAGTTAGAGTGGCAGTAGGCCAGTCATATAGTTTGTAGAACTGGCAATCAATGGAGAAGAAAGGTACTTTTGTGGCAGCCTGATATACCTCATTTAGACTCTCGCCTCGCGCCTCGCCTCGTACCTCGCCTCACAGCTCGCGTGTTGTTGCGAGGTAACAAGTGCCTGTTTACACTCTCGCGATGCGTTCAGTTTGCGTTGAGCCAGCAACGATGAAAGACCTCGAAATAATAGCGGCATCAACACTTGCCTTAATAAGTATTTATCGATGTTTGACCATTTTAAAAACAAGGAAATTAATAAAAATACGTCGTTGAGGAAGAATACGACGGGTGATATCTATTCATTGAAATAGAACCTTTTCAGTTTCATAATTTTATATAATAAATTGCTAGTACCTATTGTGCAAGATTAAATAATATTATTTTATTAAAATTGTAATTTTAAAACAAAAGCAATTCGAATGTTATTATGGAAGGGCACCGTAAACAAAGTGAAACGAGACGCGAGTGTAAACAGCACGCTCGCGAGGCCCTTTGCCTCGTGCCCAAACAACCGCCTCCGACGCGAGCGCCGAGTGGCTCGCCTCGCGACTCGCCTCGTCGCTCGCGCGAGAGTGTAAATGGGGTAATATGGGTAAGTAAAGTGTAGGAAGGCCCCCCACTAGATAAAAGTAACGACCTACACACCTATAGAAATACAGAAAGTTGACGGGTAACGGTGGCTCAAGACTATTTTGTGGCAGTCCTTGGAGGGGAGAGGGGAGGTTCTATATTCAGCAGTAGAGAGGAGTTTTGGCGGGAACTTGACCGGCGGCGGTTTGCTGCTCCTGTATTATTGTTTAAATAATGGTTTGAAGTGGACTTGGATATGTAAAATGGTGCGATTTTGTGTATTAAGTGCCTGCACATGTGAACTATTAGTGGAAACTGTGAAACAAGTGCTCTGATGGTGATGTGATTCTCAGAATAAGACACCTTATTCTGTGTGCTTAGGCGCCTTGAGATACCATCGCCAACCGTCAGCTGTCTGCTGGCTCAAGTTGCCGTCAAAATCTCCCAAGGGCTGCAAAATGTGACGCATCGACATATAGTGAAGCAGTGTACTATGAAGGATAATTATAATATATTGTAACTTCAGGCTCAGAAGGGCTAGATCCCGGAGCCGTAAAGCAAGTATTTAAAAAAAAAACAGCAGTAAACTTGTGAATGGCTGTAATGATGGTAGATAAAAATTAATTATGAAATTAAAATTGGTTGATATGAGTATCCAAGTTAAAATGACAATACTTCTGTCGATATCCACGTTCCTGGCGATATGTCCTTACCGATCCAGCAGTTGCATTTGCGTTGTATTGGTCGATCAAGGGAGAACTTGTAAACGCTGGGCACGTAAAGCCGCGTATCGATTGTACGCTCCAAGAGGTCGAACATAGGCACGCGTTCCAGCCGCGCGAAATGGATACCGCCTTGGGACGCGCGCCAAATTGTTCTTTGGAGCGTCCGGACGTATAGCGGGCCGCTCCATTTAGTGTCAGTTTTTTACCGCGTATCAAAGTTCTTTTCTTTATTTTTTTTTTGTCAAAAACGTTACCCCCTCACTAGGATTTTCTCCTGTGTCGTGGAGGCAGTTTACAAACATAAATTGCACAAGGACAAACATCCAGACCCGGAACAATTATTTGTAGGCCATACAAATACTTGTTCCGTGCGGGATTCGAACCCGCGGCCCCCAGCGCAACAGCTGATTGCTAAGCCACTGCGCCACGGAGCCGTCAAAGTAGTTAAGTATTGGCGCGCGCGCTACTTGGGACTGTTGTTTTCATAATTCGTTTGTTCGATGCGTTCCGAGCTATGGATAACCAGTGATGCCGTAAATTGATAAAATTACATGGTTCAAAACAACCGCTGTTGAATTGCAAAAGTCGTTTTCATCATAATAAATCGCTCAGAGAAGATGCATAGAACTATGAAAGAGGCAGCTGCTCGTACACGACCGACATCCATGTTGAACGGCCAAACATTGGAACAGCTGCCGTTTAGTTGATACACTTGGAACATTTGGAACGCGTTCCGCGGAACGCACTGGTCGGCGCGGTCTTTCATGGCACGCGCAACAGGAGCGCGTAATCGATACGCGGCTTTTAGCGCATTTTGCTCACGCACGCTAATTTTTAAGTAGTACTAAATTTCTTTGTGTGTTTATATGTTTAGTTTTTAAATAAAACTGAAGCAACAAACTTACATTCTATATTATTGTAAGTGGTTACTGCAATCCATGGACACCTGCAGCAAATTTCAAACAGAGAAGGCTACCGATGGGTTGTGTCACCTTAGAGGATTAAGATAAAACACCTAACAGCTTGCAATTTAACTGCATCTACCTTATAGTCTTCAGATTAGAAGCACAAATATGTAAGACTAGCTGTTCCCCGCGACATCGCCCGCGTGTATTTTTTTGCGCGGAATTCCTTAAATAAAAGTAGCCTTCAGCTATCTGCCAGTGAAAGTACCATCCAAATCGGTTCACAGGTTTATGCGTGATGCGTGTTCACGCCAAAATAGCTCGCAGATGACGGATTTTTTTCAGAGTTACATAACATTTATCGTTATATTTTGACCAATTTACACAATATTTTTATGTGTTATTTTGATGTATGAGCTATATTATTGTAAAGCTTCATTAAAATCCATTCAGTAGTTTTTGTGTGAAAGAGTAACAAGCATCCATACATCCCCAAAAAACTTTCACATTTATAATTTATTTATTTATTTATTACAAGATCCACAGCTCTAATTACAATGTAAATGAACTTAAGAAATAAACTTACAGCCAATGACGGATCTTACTTTATACATTTTTTAACTATAGCTGATGTTATAAGGAGTAACTTAAGCTACTTATATTTTAGAAAAATAATTAGGGTTCCGCGCAACAAAATTAAAACTTTAAATTACACGCGGGCGAACTAGCTGATTAATCGACCGACAATCAATAAGTTTGAGCCACAAAAACATATAATTTTAGAATTAACAATTAAAAACGGCGTGTGTGTGTGTGTGTGTGTGTGTGTGTGTGTGTGTGTGTGTGTGTGTGTGTGTGTGTGTGTGTGTGAGTGTGTGTGTGTGTGTGTGTGTGTGTGTTAAAAATAAGTAGTATTAAGTAGCATGGTGGTACACACATTACGTTTACAATTTAGTAATGTGTGTTAAAAGTTTTTTTTAACTCAATTTCTTTTGGTTTCAGATTGAAAAATTTAAAATCCATCAATTTTGGTGACTGCCTTCTCAAGAGCAAAGGCGCTAAGGCCCTGGCGAAAGCGTTCAAGGACAATTCTATGCTTTTGGAGGTTAGTATATAAGCGACACTTGACTGTCATTCGTCTAGCGATCGTAAACGCAACTGTTAAACATGATGTTCCGGGTCCGGCTAAAAATCAGTTATTGAACTTTTCTGTAGGATTTTTCAGGAAGTTGGCGGTGCTTCAATCTCGTGCCTCGGAAAGCACTTAAAGCTTATCATTATTAAATAAAAATAATTCGATGCTAAAACTTTTTACTAAAATTTTGTAAAACAACGCTGTACTTTTTGAATATTATATCATCATCCCATCGAGTTTTTATTGAAGTCCTAACAATATTAAACATATTTTTTCCAGTCACTGGACCTCAGCCACAATGAGATCGGTCGTGAGGCTTGTATGGAGGTCGTTGAGGCGATTACTGCTTTACCTGATAGCGCGGATCGACTGTCTCGCGTCGTGTTAGCAGGTATTTACCCAGTGACAGATGCTCACGTCTCGTACTACGGATCCTCAAACCGCCTGTCTAGTGTTGCAATGAGTACATCTACGATTTTTTCTGCCACCAGGGCGGCGCCACTAGAAAGTGAGGTATAACATTTGACAGATTTCATAGTGGGAAAGTTAATTTGTTGGGAAAATGTAAAGTTTTATCTTTCTTTCTTTACTATTAGCTATATTTTATCTTGATAATAAGATTAAAAATAAATAAACCAAACCACAGATATTTATGAAAGAAAAATTAAAAAAAGTTAAAAATGTACAAAAAATTAAAGAGCAAAATACTGACGCATTGTTTTGTGTATTAATATAATACACTAGAAATTGATAAACTTCTATAAAAACCAATTTCTCAATTAAATTACATTGTGTAACAAAAAACTTCCACTATCCAACCACAATTTCCACTATCCAACCTGAAGTAGGTTGGAAGGTGGCACATAAAATTGTCAACCTGACAACTTGAGTGGTCGATGGCTAATGACTAGGGTGGAAGGTAGGAATAAGTCAATTTTACCGGCCATCATTTATTGCCGCTCTGGACAAATGCCCGGCTTGCCCCCCCCCCTTAGATCGGGCCCTGCATGCACACACACACACAAACGCACACACACACACACACACGCACACACACACACACACACACAATCTGTAGTACTAAAAAGTTAAGAGCATATTTTTTAATTATCTGGCTTATCGCATAGTCGCCACCATAGTTAGGTGACGAAATGAGGGAAGTTTCTTCCACTCTGCCGTCGGTTGTATAAATTACCGAAAAATAGCGCTATTAGCTAGGTACAGTATTCATACATTTTAATAAAATTAAAAGGATGTGTTTTTAAATTGAAACAAACTAAATTACTATAAATTACTTTTACTTGACCGTGGTTTGCAATGCTTCGTATGACATTACAGAGCTATTCTATATATACTGCAGTATTTCTAAACTTTGATAACGTGATTTAGGCTTCGGTATTTATTTGCTGAAATAAATAATAAATGCCGGTGGTGGCGCCATCTTTTGAATTAAATGTGTAAAAATTGTGCTTTCAACGACTGTGAGATGACGCTAGCATTAATGTAAAAGCAAGCTACTGAGTACTATCATACCCCTGGTTGCCATTTTGGCACTCATGTACGGATAATTTTACAATGCCACAACATGGCACAATTTTCTACAAAATCGATTTAAATTAAATTGTACTTCAGGCAACAGTCTTGGCGGTGCGTCCAACAAGAAGACAATGAAGGAGAAGCTAGGTCCCTCCGCAGAGTTGAGCGATGGAGAAGGGAGCGACGAGGAATGTAAGTATATTGTTTATATATTTAGTAATTATCAAAAAAGTGCTCTCTCAGTGTGTGTTATTAAAAAAATGTCTCAAAAAAGGATAATAATTAGTTACTCGTTTATTATAGTAGTTACGTATAATCGGAGAGGTTTGACTCCAATTCGATCCATTTATAAATAGCTTGCTGTCTCGCTCACGCGCCGGCCAGCATTCGTTTCGTAAGCCGTTGAGGTAAGCGAGAGAATACGAGTGAGAAAGGAGTTGTGGTGTAGGGTATTGTACTGGTGATGGGAGATGGAACGGAAGCGTCTTATGAATGCAGTGTATAAGTCATTGACTTGTGGAATTTTTTTTAAACTGGCTTTACGCCTCTGATTTCTAGCCCTTCTGAGCCTAAAGCAACTTGTGTAGTATTTTCAAGTACTGTGCCAATAAAATTACTTCAATTTTTGGATTAAAACAAACCTCGATAACATTGTGTTTAGGCTAAGTATGGTCATTTGAGACGGCATCCAATCGTCTTCGACTTAGCGAATCGCCCGATGGTGTTAGGTATCACGCGCGTCGCGGGTAGGGGGCATCGGTATGCAGCTTCCCAGCATTTGGCGCTCGTGGGCGAAAACAGTAGCTTGAAAGCGGCGTTGCGGTTAATTAGCGCATTTTGGTGACCGCTGCATATATTTCGCGCGACCAGTGTTATGGTCTAGATTTTTAGTATTTGTGCGCGTTACTTCGCTACTAAATTGTGGTTTCGTGAAGTCCGCCTCGGTTTAGTTTGTCTAAGTTGTACGTTCGTGACAAGAGGCATATTTTGAATTTGAGTTATTAGAGTAATTTCGTTGCAATTGTACCGTCGCGTTAAGAGCCTTTTGTATGTTAACTCTGTAGTTAGTTTGCTTGTCAGCTAGGCTGATATTGAATTCTTATTGCGGCGTAGTATCTAATATCGTACGAAGGAATTTAGTTTGTTGTTTGGGAACGCTGAACTTTGTGACACTCGAGAAGAGACCGCGTTCGATCCGGTGTTTGTAAATTTGTGCTACGTAAATCCGGAACCTTGAATATTGAACTTTGAACTACTCTTCGTTACTTGTGTCAGGTATCACGTGTTTGATTCTACGATGAACGTTGAATTAGTTGAGTGAAGTTAGTTAAATGTACAATAAAGTTGATAGACTGAAATAGTGACATGAAGAAAGAAGTTGTCACTTGGTGACGCCTGCTGGAGTGATGCAGCATTGTGGGGCAGCATGGGACCAGGCCGCTGCCCGGTCACCTCAGCTGGGCCAGGTCACATAAATATACACACCACTAAACACCACTTTACATGCACCTACAACTACCTAGGCCTGACCGAGCCTTGGTGCGATCTTAGCTTCGGGTCCAGGTACGTACTATTTATTTACCTAGCCTTCTCCCTATTGTGTAGTATGATATGTCAATTGTCCATAAGGCCATTTGGGCCCGAACCCTCGGCTGCCCGTCGAGGAGGCTACTATGGGCCCTAGCCAAGGCGACCTTTGCAGGGGCAGGTGGGGGCCGTAACACATTGTGATAGATAAATTATAAAAAGATCTGACAGTGCCATTATCAATAGTAGCATCTGCTGCAACCGTCCTTAAAGAAGACAATATTTTTTTGTACGGAGAATGGGCGCACCACCAATTGTGGCGTAACTTAATGAAATACCTGTATTATGATGAAATAATGTCGATTTATTCCTTATAACCTATACATTACAAAAAATAACAGTTATGGCATGTCTAACGGGAATACTGAGAAGTTAACAATTAATATAAATAGGCTTCGGTATAAATAATAAATTCCAGCAGTGACGCCATCTTTTTAATAAAATGTGTAAAAATTCTGAGGAAAATAGTGCTTTTAATGACTGAGATGGCGCTAGTATCTACGTAAAAGCAAGCTACTGAAGACTATACACACCCTTTGCTATACCTAATGTCGGAAATACTATAGTATTTACAATAAAATAATAACTGTTTTTTTTTTATTTATTGAAATGAACACTAAATGATAATGATATTAATGCCGGTAGTGGTGCCATCTCTTAAAGAAAATGTGTAAAAATTGTGTAGTGCTCTTGTTGCTTATGAGATGGCGCTAGTATCAACGTAAAATCATACTATTTAGGACTTTCATACCCCTGTTCAATATTATATATCAATATTTTAAACCGGTAGTGAAACCTCACATGCCTTAACCGCAATCAAGCCCTGGTTGTGAGGACTTGCTGTTGTCGCGCCGCAAGCGTAATCTAACGAACCTAAGCCTAATGCAACCTATCAAATTTACCAAACAACGTAAAGAACAAGCTCCACTAATTGTCCGTCGGTAGATCACAACTAACGGTGTGTCGTTATGTGTTTTCAAAATAACGTAACGTTATTGTTATGGTACAACGGATAACATTATCATAACTATCTATATTCATAACTGTCTATTTTTCATCTAACGGCAACTTAACAATATACCGTCATATAACAGTTATCATCAAAATTATTTTCGTTTCGTATTAATATAAAAACTCAAGTTCAAAACTTGAAGGACAAGAAGGTCAATAATAATATTTCGTCTTAACAAGGTCAAGCATATTGCATTAATGCAGTTTAATCCTTACATTTAGGGTAATAAGTGTTATTTTTCAATATATGGCAAAACCCGTATTTACTGTGTAGAATTTTATAAGAAACAGCACGAGGTTAAAATTGCTTTATTAGAGACTCATTACCAATTTGAAATAGTTATACAAATATCTATATGGCAAAGAAAGAAACAAACTTATTTTTCGAATTTCGCTTACCGAGACGTTTCAACACAGGCCCCGCTGCTGTTTCGTTCTTATCGTACACGGCATAACATTTGTTTTTGTACGGAAAAGAGTGTGTGATGTTATAATAATAATATTAATATCGTTGCGCGCCACAATTAATACCACTAGCGCCCTCTAGTGTCGAGTAGCAGAACTAGAAGAGTGAAGATCCTAGAAATTTCGGGACCGATATGTACTCGAACATACTAGATGTTTCTACAGTAGAAGGTTCTGGAAACTATCTGAGGCCCTATATAAGGCCGGTATAGACCACGACCGAGTCACTATTGAATTGGCGATATAAGCGAATACTTCGAAGCGATACAACTGCGAACTTAAGTGATCAGTAGAACAATTATGTTTTATTATTAGGTGATCTTAAGTTGTAATTAGTGTTCTGTAATTAAAGTGTCAATTTTGTTAATTCACTCAGCAGTTTTAGTTGTCTCGAACCCCAAGCTCGTAACAATATCACGATTCCAAGCCAAAGTAACGATGCAGCGTTGCGGTTCAAATGTACTGTGCGTTGTGGATCGTTATAAGGAATAGACAGTTATGAGCATTATGTATAACTATCTATACATTATAAAGTAAATAGTCGTTTCCATAATTGTCTATACGTTATAATGCTCATAGCTAATCTCAAAATTTCCACTCTCACGGTCAAACTGTACAATACTAAAAAAGCCATAGTAGTTCAGGGGCTAAGTGTTCTCTGTATATTCATCAGTATGGGAACAACCCGGGTTCGATTTCCGCCGGCACCAATGAATTATTAGGAAGACGCTGCTGCCCATCTCCTGATTTGTTTCCCTCTGTCGCCTCTATACAGACAACAGATAGACAGAGAGATTGCTGCATGGTAATTCATATTGATCAGTTTGTATACACATGGTAACTATGAAATTTCAGATGTATCTGGCTCCGAAGAAGAAGAGACAGACGGAGAGGAAGAATCAGACGAGAACTCAGAAGACAGCGCCACAGAGGATGCACAACACATGGACACCATAGTGAATATGGGCAAGGAAATAAACTTGGACGACACAGGTTTGTATTACCATCAGAACTTATATAGTTGTGCATGTATATACAAGGTACTAATGTTCTTCTGGGCTATTTGGCCAGTCTAAACAGAAACCAGCTATCAGCGCAGCACAGGGTTATAGTACACGAATGTATGCACAAGCACAGGTGCACTCTCTATTGCCTCACTCTCATTACAATTAGTTCACCTCGCTGCTTCAGTGCGGACTTCCCATCCCTTTGAAATATTTATAATTAGAATATATTAATTCTGGGCTCAAAATAATTTGTCAAATAGGTGATTGAGAAAAACTAACAGTATAATTTTTTTATATAAAGTTTTGAAGGATATCCGGGTGGTGTGTATTGCTTTAAAACATATTCCTCTGTTTGCTCGTTCGATAATGATACTGGTGCAATTATTTTTACTGTGATTAGTTAATTAATTTATGTAATTTATTTTCAATACAGTGTAAAGGGTTTTTCTATGTCGGCGGGTAGATGTTAAAATAAAATAAAACAAGTTACGTGTGAGGTATTAACAAAATTCTTTTTTTATTTGGAAGGCCCACATGTGGCAATAAGTGTAGAATATATATATAATATAATACTGCCTCGTGTTCTGCTGTACACTTTGACGAACCGCGATGACGTTCTCGGCCGATATTGCGTTCTTTGAACGTACGGGTATAGCGTAAAATAGCAGCATAACGCTGCTGTGTTTCGTATGGTGAGTGTAGAGAACCGGAGACCCTTTTTACTGGAAACGAGGCATTCTATCTTAGTCCTCACGGGTGACAACGCATCTGCATTTTGATTCGTAATCGAGGATAGATGTAGTTGGAGATTTCTATGGGCCACAGCAACCACTTACCATCAGTCCACCTCTGTGCTCGTTTGTCTAAGGGTTCTATAAAAAAAAGGGTGTTGGCTGATTGTTTACCGAACCGGTCGTTTCAAATTTCGCCACCAAACGTTGAAGAGTCGACTGTGGAGGGCCACCACGTCTACCGTAATATGGGTGCAATGCGCGCAACGTTTGCATTAACGAACATACATTTTGATAATTAACGTTTTATCATTTGAACGTACTCTTTAATCGTATAACTTGCCATGGTGGTTTGGCATAAGTAAGTGAATAATAAACAAAAGATTTGATAGATGTCACCAAAACAAGATGGCCGCCACGAGCCGCCAAAATCTATCCACGCTAATTGAAAACCCTTTATATTCTATATCTACCAATGCTATGTTCTTGGTTTTCTTATAAATTATTTATTTTCAATACTAGGATCCTTTTAAAATCACTAAAACTGCTCAATTTGCACCACTGTTATTGTTCAAAAAACAAATGTAACAAACATCATCATCAGCAAACGTGGTCTGAGTAGCTCACTACTGTTTGGACTCTGCCTGCCTTATCAGGTCGTCACTCCATCTAGTAGGGAGCCACACTTCGATAACGGTATGAACCTTTCCTCTCTATCGGTTGTCGGTTCTATACGGCCGGCCCATTGCCACTTCAACTTACTAATAATATAATAATATACAGATTAAGAAACAAAAATGAAAAAAAAATCTCACACACACACACACACACACGCACACACACACACACACACACACACACACACACACACACACACACACACACACACACACACACACACACACACACAAACTTCCTACTTTTGAAAATTATTAATTTTCAAAGTGGAAAGTTTAAAAACAGTGGAATACTAAAATTTTTAGTACAAGATGCAGCTGTCTTTTGGTTTTCTAATTAGATCGTTCAGGTACATTGTTACACCAATAGATAGTTAAAACTGACTGACTGATTGACTGCATTAAATATCTATATTCTAAAAATTTTCAGGTGTGGAAGAAGTCAAAACAGATGTTGGAATTTTCCTAGAGAGCCCGACCCTGGAGAACTTGACAAAATTAGGACCCAAGGCTGCTGACGTAATAGATGCCCATCTGCAGGTATGTTAAAGGTTCTTTTATTATAATTACATTCATAAGTCATTGGCCTTATTTCTACCATGAAATCCAATCAGATAGTTAATGTTTGAGCCAAGCCACAGTTTACCTGTATTTTCATCAAGCAGCAGTGAACCAATTATTATGAAACTGCTGTTTGTAGACATTAAAGATGTTAATATTAATAATTTAGCTATGATTTGTATGGTCTGTATCGACCGTGGTATGGCTTTCCTAGTGTAGTGGGGACAGGATTAGTGGTGGCAGAAATAGTGCACGGAATGACGGCTTTTTCACGACTTTATCTATTTATCACGATGAGATTCACGACTTTTTCTGCCATCAGGGCGGCACCAATTAGGAATGAGGTGAAATAGTTGACAGATTCATAGGTAATTGTTAGAAAAGTGTAAAGATTAATTTTTTATAGGATAAAGGTGACAAACGACCACACAGTTCACCTGATGGTAAGTGGTTGCTGTGGCCCATAGACATCTACATCTATCCTCGTTTGCGAATCAAAATGCAGATGTGTTGTCAGCTGTGAGCGTTAAGATGGAATGCCTCATTTCCAGTAAAAAGGGTCTCTGGTTCTCTACACTCATCATATGAAACACAGCAGCATTAAGCTGCTATTTTTACGCTGGTATTCTGTGAGAGCGTGGTCCTTCCCCGGTCGAGCCGAATCATTCGTGCTACAACTACACTACTAATATAGCTGCAGCATGGCTTTACCACGTTAATGTTACCGTTTAATGTTTCTTTCTGAAATATTAGTTACATTTTATATAAATTAGGTTAGATATGAATAAACCAAACTACGCATATACCTAAAAGTAGAAGAATTAAAAAAGTTAAAAATGTGTAAAAATACTAAAGAATGCAGTATAGATGCATTATTTTGTGCATATGCATACACTAAAAACCGAAAAACTCGACGGTGACACTGTGTGACCTTCTGCGTGACAAATAAGTTCACCTTAGTCCCAACTAGCAGCTATTTTTTTATAGGAGAGGGGGCAAATGAGCGTGCGGCTCCGCTGAGTTTTTTTTTTATAGGGTAGGGTGACAAACGAGCACACAGTCCACCTGATGGTAAGTGGTAGCTGTGGTGGCCCATAGACATCTACATCTATCCTCGTTTGCGAATGAAAATACCAGATGCGTTGTCACCCGTGACGACTAAGGTGGAATGCCTCTTTTCCAGTAAAAAGGGCCTCCGGCCACCTGCACTCACCGAGCGAAACGCTAAACCTCTACTTTATGCTGGTATTCTGTGAGGTCGTGGTACCACCCCGGTTTGAGCCGGCCCATCCGTGCGACAGCAAAAGCTGTCGCGTGACTCTACCACTGTCAGTAAGTGACTACCGCCGCCCATGAACAACTGTAACACCAGGGGAATTGCAGATGCGCTGCCGGCCTTTTAAAAAGGAGTAGGCTCTTTTCTTGAAGGTCCCTAAGTCGTATCGGTCCGGAAACATCGTTGGTGGTAAACTATTCCACAAGGAAGTTGTGCGAGGAAGAAAACATCTTCTAAATCGCACAGTGGTGGACCGCCAATCATACAGATGGTGTGGTTGGTATCAGGAGTTCTGCCGCGAATATATAAAATAATTTTTAATTATTTTAAATATTCCTTTAATGGAATTCCACTAATTAATTATTGTTTGCAGGCAATAAAGGACCCAACAGACCTAATCACGGCATATGTGGAAGCAACTTTCTGTGTCTCGGGACTGTCAGAAGAGAGCAATCTTGCTATGGACATCGCTCAGGAACTATATCCTATAATGCTGAAAAGAGCTGGACAGCAGCATGCAGCTGCTTGGTTGTTAGCAAACACCATGCTAAGAGGACTTGGCTTAATAAAGGTAAGTTACATCATCAGCACTGCGATAAAATCTATAATTTTTTTTAACTTAAGATAAGCCAGTACTTTATCGTAAACCCACTTGGTGCTAAGTGGTGATGCTGCCTTAGATAGTATATAGCACTGTCTTAGCGTAACAAAAGCCTATTCACTCTTGCCTTGAAGACGCCCTAAGTGTATTCAGACGGAAAGACAGACGTCCGGCAAATTATTACACTTTGCTGTATGCATTACAAAAGACGAATCAAATAGTTTTTTGTTTCTAGAATTCTAATGCGTGTAATATCTACAACAAAGGGGTGAAGACCCGCCGACCGTCTGATTGTCCGATGATAAGAAGGAGAGGGAGGAATTAAAGTGTAATTCCTGCGCACACTCACTGAAATGCATCCTATAAAATACCGATTGTGCCCCTAGCTGCCCCAACCAAGGTTGACGGGACTAGGGCCCATGAGTAATCCCATCGACGGGCAGCAGAGGGACGGGGCCACGTGGCCACATGGAATTTCCTATCACAATAAACTATATGGGAGAAAGCTAGAAACACGTAGTACTTACCATTATCCGAAGCTAACTTCGCACCAAGGCTTGGCCAGGCCGTGAGTGTGTGTAATAGTGGATGGCGAGTAGTGTACAGTGAGGTGTGAATGTGTAGGGCTTTGACAAGCATAGGCGGCCAGCAGCGGCCGAGTTCCAGGCTGCTCCAAAATGTTGCATCGCTTCAGACTGCTTCGGCGCCGGACCACTTCTTTCTTCACTGTAACGGATTCAGTCTCTTAGCTTCATTGTACATTTAACTAACTTCAATTCGCCTAATTCCACACTCATCGCAGAATCGAACACGTGATATCCGACACGGCAAGGACAGTAGAACAAAATTCGACATTGAATGTCCCGGATTCACTTATCACAAATTATAAATTCGGCACCAGACGAACATGTTGCGCCAGAGTCAAAATACGCTTCGTTGACACGCAAATTAATCTAACTAAGATGCACAAATACTTTCAAAGAATTTACTTAAACCGTAAAACCCCATAAAGGCCTCTGGTACGGGAACCTAAATCCTAGACCACCAAATCCGAGGCAGATTTCCCGAAACCCAATTACGTAGCGAAGCCGCGCCCAAACCCAAATTCTAGACCCTAATTACTCGAAACCGGTCTCGCGCAACTTCCGCAGCGGTAGCCGAAACACTCGGCCTTACCGGATCGCTGCTCCTAAGCTACTGGTCGTCACCTACTGTCTCGCCCGACCGCCAAGACGCTGGGAAGCTCCCTTCCGCTGCCCCCTCTCCGACACACACGTGACACCTGGTACGATCGGGCGATTGGCAAAGTGGAACGTGATTTTGGGTAACGTCACGTTCTAACATAACCAAATTCGGGCATAAACACCGAGAGCCTGGCTACTCGGTGCTGGTGCTCGAAGCTGACAGGATTGGTTTCAACCAAATCAATGTCACCAATGAGCCTCTTAGCACGTCTCTCCACTGAGTCCAACGCTGTCAGGTGGCATTTTGCAGCGCCAGTTGTCAATAAGGATATCTTTGGAAGAAAAAAGTATTTAACATCAATCTCATCATTTATCTATGGGAGAGGCTTATGTTCTGCCATAGACTTTTTTATAGGATAGGGTGACAAGCGAGTACACAGTCCACATAATGGTAAGTGGTTGCTGTGGCCCATAGACATCTACATCTATCTTTGTTTGCGAATCAAAATGCAGATGCGTTGTCAGCCGTGAGGACTAAGATGGAATGCCTCGTTTCCAATAAAAAGGGCCTCCGGTTCTCTACACTCACCATACGAAACACAGCAGCATTAAGCTACTATTTTACGCTGGTATTCTGTGAGGGCGTGGTACTTCCCCGGTGGAGCCGGCCCATTCGTGCTACAACTATATTACTAATATAGCTGCAGCCTGGCTCTACCACATATAAAACTTCTTATATTTCAATAGGCTGTAACAATAATGAAGATGTTCAACTGACATAACCCCAAGGATCGGTAGGCTGAAATGGCGATGGACCAACCACATTTTGCTAGAAGAACTGACAACTGATGAGGAAGAAAGGTTTTCGAGTGGTAGGATTGTATAGTCATGCATAGTGTTGGACATTCTTCCACTAGAAGATGTAACATCTTGATGAAACATGGAGGTGGCTCAGGACCATGCTTTATGACATACCTTTGGGGGAGGCCTATGTTCAGCAGTGGACTTGTGAAGGGCTGTAATTGTGATGATGATGATGACAGCGTTTTTGTCGTATCTATACAAATAAATAAAATTGAAGTGTCTGTTTGTAATGTCAAAATTACAGTTTTTTTCTAAATGCATATGAAAGTAAATACGGTACCTATAACTAAAATACAATTTTTAAAATTTTTGTCTGTCTGTCTGTCTGTCTGTCTGTCTGTCTGTTTGTTCCGGGTAATCTCCGAAACGGCTGGACCGATTTTCACGGGACTTTCACTGGCAGATAGCTGATTTCATAAGGAGTAACTTAGGCTACTTTTATTTTAGAAAAAGAATTAGGGTTCCGCGCAAAACATAAAAACCCTAACACGCGAACGAAGTCGCGGGGAACAGCTAGTTTATAATATACTAGCTGTGTCCCGCGACTTGCCCGCGTGGAATTATTATAAAATTAAAACCCCTGAAAACCAATCGTAATAAATTCCACGCGCGCGAAGTCGCGGAGTACCGCCAGTCTTATATAAGAATCTAATGAAACACTAATGATGTTGCAGTCGGAGAACAAAGAATACCGCATCCGGTGGAAGACGTCCGGCTGCTACCGAGTGCTGGCGCTCGCTGTGAACCGGCCCAACTTCCCCACGCCGCTGCGGGACACGCTGCGGTTCTTCATCGCGAGCCGCTTGTCCACGCTCACTGACAAGAACATTGTGGAGAAGCATCCGGAGTTGTATCGCTCATAACGGACTCTCCAATCGTTGTGACGTGGTCGTGGTAGCACTACATTAACGTTTCTATGAAATGATAATGTCGTAATTTGAATTTTTTTCTTACATAACCTCAGATTAACAGAGAATAATTTAAAATTAAAAATTTTGTACAGTTCAATATAAGTTATTAAGAATAACTCAAAAACTATTGGTCTGACCATAATCTAATTTATATGGGACCACACGAGAAGTACCAGCTTTCATATAAAAAAAGAATCATCGAAATCGGTTTACCCAGTAAAAAGTTATGAGGTAACACACATGAAAAAAATACAGTCGAATTGAGTAACCGTCTCCTTTTTGGAAGTCTGCAGAAAATAGACGAATCGATGTGTACATTGCAAGTGAAGCCAAAAACCACTCAACTTATTGTACGAAAATCTACTCAAAAGATAAAAAGGACAGAATATTTGAGATTTTTTTTATTCGTTTTTCTTCACCATACACCTATATTACTTATTCTGACCGTTCTCTGCAAATTTGACCGGTTATTGCAAATTAACCCTTTATATATAGAACAGCATTGTACACATGGAGCATTGGGAGGCGAGCGATCTCCCCTTTTTCTCCCACGGCCAATGGTACTATAGCTATTTACTTATTTCCGAAAATACTGCCAAACAGCAGTGTCCGTACTGCTATGTTCCGTTCTGAACAGTAAAGAAATATAATGAAATATAACTACATGCTGTGAGGCATTCCTTCTTTTTTTGTATACATTAGAGGTGACAAGCGTGCACACAGTCCACCTGATGGTAAGTGGTTGCTGTGGCCTATAGACATCTACGTATATCCTCTATTACGAATCAAAATGCAGATGCGTTGTCACTCGTAAGGACTAAGATGGAATGCTTTGTTTCCAGTAAAAAGGTTCTCCGAATCTCTACACTCACCATACGAAATACAGCAGAGTTAAGCTGCTATTTCACGCTGGTATTCTATGAGAGCGTGGTCCTTCCCCGGGCGAGCCGACCCATTCATGCTACAACTATACTACATACCACATACTAGCAATAATATAGCTGCAGCATTAAATTTTATTTTTACATGTTTTATAAAAATACAACTTTGTTTTAAGTCATATGTACAGGTCAAGTGAATTTTTACGGGCTATAATGAAAGAAAGAAAGAAGAATGTGCGTAAAAACCAGTCAAGAAGTTGAGCATGGTTTCATTGGCATTTTGAAACCGTATTGTTCACGAGATTTGAAAACACAGACTGGAATAAAATGTCCATACATTTACAAAAGTATTTAAAATGTTTTTGTATACACGTATACATAATTGTCTATACATTTATTCACATGTGTAATGTGTATGTGTCTATACACATATGTGAGTGAGGGTGACACATATATAATGAGGAACGGAATCTTCCTGAAGTTTTTTTTTAAATTAAATCATGTCAGATTTGCTGGAAACACTGTCGTAATTTGGGTATATGGTTTATCTCTTAAATAGTTTATTGATTTATATTTACGCGGGTAATACTACACATCAAATAAAAACGACTTGTACTGGTTTCATCATGTTTTAACACGGTTGGCAGTTAAAAACAAGTTAAATTAAACCCGATAAAATATGTGACAGTCATCATTCATCATCATCATTACAGCCGTTCATAAGGCCACTGCAGATCACAGGCCTCCCCCAAGGAATGCCACAAAGCACGGTCCTGAGCCACCTGCATCCATCGACTTCCTGCATATCTTACCAGGTCGTTAGTCCATCTAGTGGGGGGTCGCCCTACACTTCGCCTACCGGTACGAAGCTGCCACTCGAGAACTCGTTACTCGGAACTCGAGAACATTGTCGGTTCTTCGAGCTATATGGCCGGCCCACTGCCACTTGAGCTTACTAATCCGTGTCGGTTACACTGGTTCTACTGCGGATATCCTTATTTCTAAGTTTATCACGCAGAGAAACCCCGAGCATAGCCCTCTCCATAGCTCGCTGAGCGACCTTGAACTTCCTCATACGGCCAGCAGTGAAGGACCACGTCTCAGATCCGTAAGTCATCAGTGACAGTAGTTTTATACAATTAACTATCTGAACCCGGCAGACGTCCTGCCAGTTAATATTATAGTTTGTGTTTAGTAATTTTTTTTATTTTAATTTATTAATTACCGCGCTTGATTAAAAAAGTAAATAAAATCAAAATTTTTAAATTTTGATTGTGTCTATTATATTTTTTTTAATTTATAAAATATAAACCTTCTCTATTGAAAAATACATATTATATATACAAATTTTCATGGTGATCGATCAAATAGATTTTGAGTTTAACTATTTCATGTATTCAATCATTCTCTTTTATTTATATAAGAAATAGAATGTAAAATAATTTTGTTTTTAGATAAATATTAATTAAGTGTTACGAAATGAGGCAACATTAACCTATAATAATACAAATTTGTTCACATTTCATAGAACTAAGGCTATTTTTTTAAATGTGTGTGGTTTATTTATTTATATATATCAAGTTTTTTTTTTAAATCCTTACCAACTTTTGTTTTTAATCTTAGTGTTTTAATTAAACAAGGTATATGTGGTAAAAATTTACCTAAACTTTAGCTATGACGACTGCATAATGCAACCGCCCGTCAGTTTGTGTCCTTCGTCGAACTCAAACTTTGTACAGTGTGTAAGAATAATTTGTTGTAAATCATTTCTTTTCGATTTGTTTGAAAAGTAAAATTACGAAACCAATTGTGTATTTTATTTCGTTTTACCTGTAAAATGTGTTGCTTTTACACAACTTCGTAAAACAACAAAGCAACAATAACTTCTGTGATTGATTTTTTGCGAAAACTTGACTGCCGCCGGATATAATTTTCCTTTTATTTATTTATTTAACTTTTATACACCAAAAATGAAACTGTTCATAATATGGCGGACTTTAATACCTTAAGGCAATACCCCGACCAAAACCTTGCGATAGTGCGTTTTTCTTCGTTAAGCTTTGGTCTGGTCATCATGACGCACAACGCTGCGGTATGCGCCCCAACGCAGCGTCACGACGCAGCGTTTACCGTCCCTGCGGAGAGGTGGTCAGTTGATTTTGCCGCAGCTACCAAGGTAGACGTGAACATGAACAAAAAATCCATATTGTCAACCCGTGACGCACACGTTAGTAGTATAGTTGTAGCACGAATGGGTCGGCTCGACCGGGGAAGGACCACGCTCTCACAGAATACCAGCGTCAAATAGCAGCTTCATGCTGCTGTGTTTCGTATGGTGAGTGTAGAGAACCGGAGACCCTTTTTACTGGAAAAGAGGCATTCTATCTTAGTCTTTTCACGTGCTACAGGCAATCTTCTTGGCCGCTGACGAATAGGCAATTCTTGTCCTGTGTTTATTTTGTGTTGAACTAAGGCAGTCTTTCCTATGTCAGCTTCGTTTGACGAGAAAACATTGGCGTACTTGAGTAACAACTTCTTCGCCTTGACCATTTCATTCGGGGAGAAAACGCTGCGACAGTCTTCTAAAAGTGTGGTCACTCTCGTTTGTCCATCCTTGCTAGGGGTCCCGGTCTATAGATATTCGCACCGACGCAACCAATCCACTTCCTCACTAGTACCGACCAATGTGCCTTTTTCTATAATCTGTTCCTGATCACAAAGGTTCAACACACGTACTCCTGAGATGTCGGTGGTTCTGACCAAGGTTCGAGCCACTTTCCATGGAAGGTCATTGTCTACCCTTTACACGAGTACACAACGATGAGCTTGCCCAGGACTCCGAGGAAGACTAACCGGCACAATCGTTTCCGATCTCGGCGGAAGAACAATCTTCTTAAGGCTGTACACATTCCCTGGTAACGCCCCTTCCATGAGAAGTTCCTCTTGTCCACATTTCAAAACACCTTGCTTAACGTCGATCTCACAACAATTCTTCCTCATAAAGTCTAGGCCCAGGATGCAGTCGTCCATTATATCAGCCACGATGACATTATGCAGGTAGATAATGTTGCCTAGCTTCAACTCCATCTCCTTCTCTCCACGGACGGGTATGCGCTGACCAGTGGCTGTCACCAAATTAATGCGTTCTCGGTTGTATGCGGAGTCCCCAAGGAACCGACTTATAAGTTGGGAACTGACAACCGTGCGAGAGGCTCCAGTGTCTATGGTCAGTTTACACGGCATTCCGTTGACTTCGCCCTTGATGATTAGGCTGTTCCCATCATGGGTTTGTGAGATCGAAATCCTTGGGGCTCTTTTAACATCAGCCAGCACCCGCCCCGCAGTACTGGCTTTTACTCGTTTCCCTGCTGCTGCTGGGCGGTGCCTTTAGCCGCACTACCTACACTACTACTCGAGATCGATCACCTTCCCTTTCTACAGTTCGCTTAGGGCAGCTGGATCGAAGATGGCCCCTTTCCCCACAGCCGTAGCACCTAGGGCTGTAGCTTTTATTGCGGTCCTGAACTGTAGCTGCTGCAACCTCCCTGACGCGGTGGGAACGATGATCCTGCCGCACGGCTTCCACCTCCAGTGCATGGGTCAAGGCGTCCTTAAGCGTCTCGTGGTGCCCGAGCCTCACAGCGGCTCTGACTTCAAGGTCGCGGATGCCGTCGATGAATGTCTGCACCAGGTTCCCTACAATAAGCGCAGGTACAGACTGGTACGATTTTCGAACCAGCTTCGCCACCTCAAGGGCACACTGCTGCAGGTTTTCGTTACTGCGTTGCACGCGATCTTTGAGCTGCGCACGAAAGACGTGTTCCAGGTGAGCGTCGCCATATCTCGCCTCCAATGCCTCAAGGAGCTGCTCGTAAGTCACTTCCTTACCGAGAGCTTCCAGAATAGTTAAGGCCTGGTCGCGCAGGCCTAGGGTGAGAGCAGTCATGACCTGACTTTTATTCCAGCCATTCGCTTTCATGACAGCCTCGAACTGGATTTTGTAGGCCGACCAGGAAGAAGTCCCATCGAACGGTGGCACTTTGAATCCACGTAGCGAAGGTGCTGTAGCTACCACGGGAGCTGTAACTCCATCCCCAATTTTGAGGTCGTTCAGCGTTTTCTTCACGTCAGCCATCACATTGTCAACCCGATTGTACACTTGGTCGATTCGGGTTTCAGCTTCTGACAGGCGGTTGTCATATTGAGCAACCTTATCCTTCACCTCACTTATTTCTTTCCCGAAGGTAGCGTGAAGGTCCTTCATGAGAAGTATCTGCTCTTCCTTATCGCGTTTGAGCTGCTCTTCCAACTGACGGCCCTGTTCCTCCTGTTGGCGGGCTTGTTTCTCCTGTCCGCGCTGCAGCTGCTCTTCCAACCGACAAGCCTGTTCCTCCTGTCGGCGGGCCTGTTCCTCCTGTCGGCGAGCTTGTTCCTGCAGCATCATCATCAGAGTACCTAAGTCAGGTGCTGCAGATGCAGGAGCTGCTGACGGGCCGGACTCCGTGGTCGGCAACTGGCCTGCCGACGTCTGTGACGTTGCACCACCAAATCGTCTCTGGTCCGTCTCCTCTTGGCGTTGACTTCGGGTACGGATACCCTCGGTGTCGTCTTTAGGTAAAATCGGCATATTTGATCCCACTTCTGACACCAATTGTTACGAGCTTGGGGTTCGAGACAATTAAAAACTGCCGATTGAATTACCAAAATTAACACTTTAATTACACAACACTAATTACAATCTAAAATCACACCAATAATAAAACTCAGTTAGCCGTTATTTCGCTTCGAAGTATTCTCTTGTATCGCCAATTCAATACTGCCCCGGTCGTGGTCTATACCGGCCTTATATAGGGCCTCAGATAGTTTCCAGAACCTTCTACTGTAGCGACATCTAGAATGTTCGAGTACATATCGGTCCCGAAATTTCTGGAAGGATCTCGACTCTCCTAGTTCTGCTACTCGACACTAGAGGGCTCTAGTGTGACTAGTGTTGCCATGTACAAGACATTAATAGTGGCGCGCAATACTTTCATTTACTCGACACTAGGGGGCGCTAGTGTAACTAGTGTTGCCATGTACAAGACATTAATAGTGGCGCGTAACAATATTTTATCTAATATATTTTTCAATGTTATAACTAATAAGAATAACAAATATATAGGTACGAAGCCACGACCCGCGAGCGAAAGCCTAGTTAAAAAATAAATTAATAGGCACATAACTTTCGTGCGAGACTGTACCCATGCGCAAACACACTCCCACCACTTTCTTCCAGCGTTCTTTTTACGTGACGCGTGTTATAATATCGGTCCGTGAGTTAAAGTTTCTAAAGGAACTGTATACGCGACTTGTCATGGGCGATTGTGATGAGAGGGCTAGTTTTATTCTCGCTCATAGGCTAAATAAAACTATTCAGCGAGGAAACGCAGCCATCGTTCTTGGCAATAAACTGCGGGGAATAGTACTGTTTCATAATGTAAGTTAGTAAAAGGTTTTTGTATGATAATATTTAAGTATTGTATATTTTAATGTTATATAAATAAATAAATAAATAGTTTCGATACGTAAAGTGCTGCAATTTAGTGAATTAAATATCTGTCATGCATGCCTACTAGTACCTACTGAAAACGATGAAACAAGTGCTCCGACGGTTGATGTAAACTTCAAGTTTCTTTTGTTTGCTTAGACGCCTTGAGATACCTATTATCGACGTTAACTGTCTGTTAGCTCAAGGTGTCGTCAAAGCCTTACAATTTCGCATTCGTAATGTTACACAATAACGTTATATGATTATTTGTAGGATAATTTCTTAATACTGCTTGATACTGGCAAAAATACAACCGTGCGAATCCACTACCAAAGGAAAAACCTACTTATCTATAGTGCCACCAACTTATCTGTTCAGTTGACAGCGTCGCTAGTGGAGTGGTTACTATTGCCATTTAAGAAATTCACCGAGGAAATAGGTAACAACATATTCATTACACATAATATAAAATAAAACAAATTTCGTGTTAATATATTAAAATTGAGAATTAGTGTTATTATATATATTATTTTTATTTTATAAAAATAATTGTGGTCGTGATCTCGGAGTTCAAGCGGCCGAATACCAGGAATTTCTGTTTTGAAAAATGTACCCGCGTAGCTACTGGTTCCAATAATTCATCTTCTGGAATCGCTTTCACTATCGCTCTGACACTGTAATAAAGGGTTCATTTAAATACGCGTCTTTTAGTCTGTATTAAAGTTATCTCCAACCTCAAAACTATTCTAAGCATAATTGATGAATAATCTTAATTAAAATTTAGTGGAAATTAAGTCTAAGTGTTATAAATACTACAATCTTATGTATACCGAGATTGACCAGGGCGTTTGGCAGCGCTCTCTCGCTAGTAAAAATTGCGTATTCACAGAAGTATATGACCAAGCATAATTATGTATTACATAATAGAATATAATATTATTATGTTTTGAATTGCGCAAACATTTATGTTATTTTTTATTCGTATCCTTAATCATCAAGACAAGTCATCTAGTTAGCACATTTAATAATACATAGTACTCATTTCATTTTCATATTTCTTCACCAGCGAATTTTCTGAACCGATACGACTTAGGAACCTTCAAGAAAAGAGCTTACACCTTTCTAAAAGGCCGGCAACGCATCTGCAATTCCCCTGGTGTTGCGGTTGTTCATGGGCAGCGGTAGTCACTTACCATCAGGTGAGCCGCATGCTCGTTTGCCCTCTATTCTATAAAAAAAAATTCTTATGTCATTACATACACTGAACTCGATCCTACACATTAGATATGGCTTTAAAAGTTCAGTTAAATGTTGTCATTCCTATAACGTTCCCGAACATGTTTTAAAACAGATTAGAGGGATTAAAGAGTCGCTTGTGATGCCAATGACTATTGTTTTTCAAGATGGCCCTTCACCGTCACAAGCACAAGCACACGACGAAGCTGATATTGATGGTCTACAAATATTATTTGATTTATCTTGATTTTTGATTAAATTTCCTTAAAAATAGCACTGCATTTTAGTTACACTACCTACTTGCAATTTATTTTCATTTCTTATGTATTTAAACAAGACTTAGCAGCTGGCATTTTATTTAGCAAATTCAAGTGTGATTTAGCACTTTTTTAGCATTATCACCGTGAAAGTCTAGCATTTTTTTCATTTACAAAAGGGCAACACTGCAAGTTACAACTGTCATAACATAACCTTAAAACACAAATTATAAAGTTGTATTGTAGGGGACCTTATAAGAGCTTAAACATTATTTTTAAACAAATCTGTATGTAATTCAAGTAAATAAATAGAACGGGAAGAAGTTATTTTCCGTTTTTTATTGAGTGAATTACATGTAATAAATGAAAAAAGAAAACTGAAAATAGACTGTAAGAACAAAAAGTACTAGTGATATTTTACCAGTGTAGCTTGAGTGTTAATAATTTAGTCTTATTAATTTGACTTTTATTGATTATTATAATAATGAAGTTAAAAAGTTAAAGTTACAGCCTATATACGTCCCACTGCTGGGCACAGGCCTCCTCTCATTTCTACACAGGGTTTTACGGCAAGGAAATGTCCGCCGCGTTGCCCTAATGCGTGTTGGCGAACTTCACATGTCGTCGAGATATCTTTTTTTTATTTCTCAGGCTTGCAGGTTTCCTCACGATGTTTTCCTTCACTGCTGAGCACATGGTAAATCAGCACTTTAAATTGCAATTACCAAATTCATTGCCGGCGGGGATCGAACTCGGGTTGCTGGCGTACTGTGAAGTTTACAGTGAGCGCTAACCATCTGAGCTACCACGGCTCTTATAATATTAAGTTGTATTTTAAGTCGGCTCCATGTTGCAGTGGCCTATCAATGAGTTAGAGAGAGAGAGAGTGAGAGGAGCTCTTTTTTAGATTTAGTTTTTTTTTTGAAAGGTGACTTGATCTAGAGTGTTCTTAGCTATGATTCAAGAAAATCTTTTCAGCCGTTTGAAGATCATCAGCTCTGTTTGTTTCGGAGATAGTTTAAATTTTCAATTTTATATTATATTTAATATATAGATTACATGTAATTCTTATTGAAAGCCATTTCTTACCTTTTTTTTTTCAAATCAAATCATTTGCAATCCAAGTGTACATAATTAGTCTTACAACTCAGAAGACATTTCCAGGCAAATTTGACAAGGGCAATGCTTATACATAATCTTTAAATATAAAAATTACGTGTCACATTGTTTGTCCGCGATGAACTCCTAAACTACTGAACTGATTTCAATTAAATTTTGTACACTCTGTGCAGTTCGGTCCAACTTGAGAGATAGGATAGTTTTTATCCTGATAAGTGACGCTCAATATTTTTTTATTACGAATTTAAGGATTTTTTATATGAAGAGTCGTCGAAAAGTGCAGAACAACGTCTGCCTGGCCAGCTAGTAAAATATAAAATATACTTAGGACCTAGATAAATATAAAAATACATAATAGTGTTAGTAGCATAATAGTTTGACCACACTGGTTTGGAAAAAAACTGTCCTGGGATGAACCAACAAGAAACCCAGCAATTGTTTCTCTCTCTCAAATTGGTTTTGTATCTTTTTAGGCTAATGGCAGCGTCAGTAAAATTGCACTTACAATTTGGGGGCGGAGCAGAATTGCTATTTGACAAAATAAAGAAGAGAGAAATTGAATTGCCAGCATTGAAAAAATATTTCCCGGATTGTCAACATGATAAATGGAATATCAGGGATTTGTTGGTTTGGATAAAAGATAACCTTTTGCGAGAGAGACCAGAATTATTTTTACAGGTAGAGCAACTAGGCAAGGTTGCAACAGCTAAGTATCTGAATAATAAAATCTGAAGGATTCATGCCTCCGTAGCTTTAGGGCCTGGTTATATTTTAAATGTGTTATAATAGATCTGAAAACAAACTTATAGAATATGGATGACAAACAATCACATAGTGCACCTTATGGTAAATGGATATGTTATGTGGCCCATAAACATCTACATCTATCCTCAATTAAGAATCAGAATGCAGATGTGTTGTCATCCATAAGGACTAAGATGGAATGTTACATTTCCAGTGAAAAGAATCTCTGCTTCTTTACACTCGCCATACAAAACACAGCAGTATTAAGCTGCTATTTTACTCTGGTGTTCTATGAGAGTGTGGTCCTTCCCAGTTCAAGCCACTTATTCATGCTACAGCCATAATATAGCTGCAGCATGGCTCTACCACGTAAACCACCGTTTTGTAAGTGGCTACTGGAATTCATGGAACTTTAAACAAGCAAGGCTTCAGATTTCCAGATAAGTTGTCACCTCTTAAGACTAATATGGAATTCCTCACAGCCTGTGACTAACTCTCATTACCCTTCACACTGCAACACAGTAGAACATGCACGTCTAATTAGAGGCAGAAATAGGTAAGAGAATGGTACTTATCCAGATGGATTTGTATGCAGAAAAGAAGTACCTACCATGTAGTAACTTGACAGGTCTGAGCCGCAGTGGCTTAACTAATCTGATTTTTTTTAGTGCCAATGCTATGTATCATGTGTATTTAAAAAAAAAGTTTCTTGAATTTTATATACAGTCATAATGAATTGATCAAAACGTACTGCCATGACAAACAAAGTTTTTATTTTACTACATTTAGTAGAAGCTAATCCAATCATTACTAGCAAAAGCATTACCACATCAACCAACAAGCTCAAAGAAGAAGGTTGGACCAACTTAATCAAATCGTTTAATGCATAAATTTCCAGTGCTCCTAAAAGTACAGATCAACGTGGATTCATACGTGGTAGAGCCATGCTGCTGCTATATTAATAGTATAATTATAGCCCGATTGGGTTGACTCGACCGGGGAAGGACCATGCTCTAACAGAATACCAGCGTAAAATAGCAGCTTAATGCTGCTGTGTTTCGTATGGTGAGTGTAGAGAACCGGAGACCCTTTTTACTGGAAAAGAGGCATTCTATCTTAGTCCTCATGGCTGAAAAAGCATTTGCATTTTAATTCAACAAGTTTGCGCGTTTACCGCTAAAAAGAACCCCTTTGTCGTATCTCCTCAGTTTCAAGGCACTCCCCTTCTTGCCTCAGCCAGTATCGGTATTCTCGGAGTCGACATATCGAGTGACGTGCAGTTTCGTGGTCACTTGGAAGACAAGGCCAAATTGGCCTCTAAAAAGCTTGGCGTGCTCAGCAGAGCGGGACAGTATTTCATGCCGGCACACCGCCTGCAACTTTACAAGGCGCAGGTTCGGCCTCACATGGAATACTGTTCCCATCTCTGGGCAGGGGCTCCCCAGTGCCAGCTCCTTCCACTTGACCGCATCCAGCGCAGAGCGGCTCGAATCGTCGACGACCGAGCCCTTTCCGATCATTCATCGATTCATTGGCACTGCGAAGAGATGTTGCATCCCTTTGCATTTTCTTTCGCATCTACCATGGGAAGTGCTCTGAGGAATTGTTCGGATTAATCCCAGCCGCCAAATTTCACGAACGCACATCGCGGCAGAACTCCCGATACCATCCACACCATCTGGATGATTGGCGGTCCACCACTGTGCGATTTAAAAGATGTTTTCTTCCTCGCACGACTTCCTTGTGGAATCGATTACCATCAGCGATTTTTCCGGACCGATACGACTTAGGGACCTTCAAGAAAAGAGCGTACTCCTTTTTAAAAGGCCGGCAACGCATCTGCAATTCCCTCCCTGGTGTTGCAGTTGTTCATGGGCGGCGGTAGTCACTTACCATCAGGTGAGCCACATGCTCGTTTGCCCCCTCTCCTATATATAAAAAAAAAAATTCAGAAACGATGATAGATGTAGATGTCTATGGGCCACAGCAATCACTTACCATCAGGTGGACTGTGTGCTCGTTTGTCACCCTTATTCTATAAAAAAAATACTTCAATTCAAATGGGACGACTTGAAAAAAATGGCACGTAAAAGATCACCGGATTTCACTTTAACAAGTTGCAGCACAGGGCCGTGGGTTCGAATCCAGCAAGGAACAAGTGGTTGTATTATCGTTACAGCCTATAATTTCACTGCTAATAATAGGTTTTCCCCATAGGCAGTCTCTAAGGGGGCATATTTGCAGGTTGGCAACCGCAGTTTTAGTGTTGTAGTTGTTATTCGGAAGATGCTGCCGCCCATCTCTAGTTTGTTTCCCTTTGTTAACTCTTACGACACCCACAGGATGTTATGGAGTAGTGGATATTTTTACAGTGGTTGTGCGGCCTACAAACAAATGTTTTATACATGGTAGAGCCATGCTGCAGTTATATTAGTAGTGTAGTTGTAGCACGAATGGGTCGGCTCGACCAGAGAAGGACAACGCTCTCACAGAATACCAGCGTAAAATAGCAGCTTCACCCTGCTGTGTTTCGTATGGTGAGTGTAGAGAACTAGAGACCCATTTTACTGGAAGAGAGACCATTCCATCTTAGTCCTCATGGCTGAAAACACATCTGCATTTTGATTCTTTATTGAGGATAAATATAGAAATCTATGGGTCACAGCAACCCACTTACCATCAGGTTTACTGTGTGCTCATTTGTCACCCTATCCTATAAAAAAAATGTTCCTGGTCTAGATGTTTACCCATGCACAATTTATGTCTGTAAACTGCCTCCAGTAATCAGAATAAAAGGTAGTGTGGGGTTAATATTATAATCAAAACGTAACTCATAATATATTGAATATTTGGTTATTTGTTTCAGGGTGATTCAGTGCGGCCAGGAATTTTGGTTTTGATAAATGATGCTGACTGGGAATTGTATGGAGAGCTTGATTACGAATTGCAGGACAATGATACAATAATGTTTATATCTACTTTACATGGAGGATAAATTATTCTTTTTATAACCTATCTTGTTTTATTTTACAAATTCCATGTAAATTTTAAACCCTAGATTTTTTTATAGAATAAGGGTGACAAACGAGCACACAGTCCACTTGATGGTAAGTGGAGAATGTAACAGCTAGTTACAAATAATTTTAGTTCTGAAAATGCCTTTATACCGGGAAACCACCCAGCATTGTTGCAATAATCTTAATTATAACCTGAAAAACTATTATGAAATATAAAATATAGCATATTAAAAAATCCCAAGAGTGACCGTCAATCTTTTTTAAATTCAAACAACAGTAAACATAAAAAATTTGAATACAGAAAGTAATTGATTAAGCTGTTGGTACTAAAGGCTCTGAACTCTGATTGACATACGAGGTAAAGATTTTGAGACCTTTTCTACTGACTTCAAAAAGGAGCCGGTACTCAATTCGACTGTATGTTTTGGAACGAAGTTCCTTATCGGACGGTACTGGTTTGGCGGATGGGAGCTAGGCGACAAAAAGTGTAACATTTTTCGTCACTAACCCTCGTGTCATAGTGTATTTTATTTTCAATGACGCTTCATTTTAATAGATGCTAATAATTCGGTAATTGGGTCGGCTCGACCGGGGAAGGACCACGCTCTCACAGAATACCAACGTAAAATGGCAGTTTCACACTGCTGTGTTTCGTATGGTGAGTGTACAGAACCGGAGACCCTTTTTACTGGAAAAGCGGCATTCCATCTTAGATCTCACGGGTGTCAACGCCTCTGCATTTTGATTCGCAAACGAGGATAAATGTAGATGTCTATGGGCCACAGCAACCAACAGTCATTTAACAGTGGTAGAGCCACGCGGCAGCTTTTGCTGTCGCACGGATGGGCCGGCTCGAACCGGGGTGGTACCACGACCTCACAGAAAACCAGCGTGAAGTAGAGGTTTACCTCTGCGTTTCGCTTGGTGAGTGCAGGTGGCCGGAGGCCCTTTTTACTGGAAATGAAGCATTCCATCTTAGTCCTCACGGGTGACAACGCATCTACATTTTGATTTGTAATAGAGGATAGATGTAGATGTCTATGGGCCGCAGCAACCACTTACCATCAGGTGGACTGTGTGCTCGTTTATCATCCTATCCTATAAAAAACAAATTATTTATATTTATTAATCAATAATATAATACGTTTATCAATAATAATATACTATGAAAGGAACTTCGTTCCAACCGAGTGTTCCACGACACTCACGCTGTCACGCATGTTTTTTTTAATGTGTATTACCTCATAACTTTGTTCTACGTGAACCGATCTCGATCATTCTTATTGTCCTCAATTAAGAATCAAAATGCAGATATATTACGTGGGCGTCGTAAGACGCGACAGGGTGAAATGAAACAGAACATTGGCAGTAACAACTTTCTGATAACAATTCAAAATAATAAACGGTTGTCAACCCGCCTAGCGTGGCAAGTATGGTCTATGGGGGCGGCCTATGTTCAGCAGTGGACTTTAATAGGGTATAATGGATGGACGTATAGAAGATAATCTACCAGGAGCACATGACCCACTGATAGATGAAATTATTAAATCAACAGTAACATTACAACTATTGCAAGTATTCCCCTCATGAGGTGATCTATGGGGGAGGCTTATGTTCAGCAGTGGACTTTAGTAGGCTGTAATGGATGGATGTATACGACGGCGACACTGAAAGTTTTTAGAACTGGCCACTTGTAAACGATATAATAAAAAAATAAGTTCAAATTTTAAAAATGGAACTCTGCCAATATTATTGTGTATGTATTTTACTAATTTGTCATTTGTTAACGATTTGGCGGCAAATAGAAAATTGTCTGTGTCACGTCAGCCTGAATTTAACTCGAGAAAATTTTCGTACAATAATTTTTTATGATTTTCGAAGACATTTGAGTTAACAAGAAAGTTAAGACAGACTTCGATAGGCCTTTGACGATTAAGCCCCATCTCGTGACACTGTTTACAACTGATTTAACGAGTTTAAACGTGGTCGCACTAATCTTACCGATGATCTGCGTGAGGGATGCGGCCTTCTACGGCGACGACTGAAGATAACATCAGTGCTGTGCGGCGTATGATAGAGACTGACAAAAGAGTGACTTTTCAGCAGATTCGGACAAGCTTAGGCATCGGTATGAGTCTCCATGAACATTTAGCGGCCAAGAAGCTTTGTGCCCGGTGGATATCTCATAATTTGACAGAGGCCCAAAAACTCCGTCGTGTTGATTGGTGTCGTGAAATGGTCAAATATTTAACGGAGGTGACTCAAATGCTGTGTTCGACATACCTACGGGTGACGAAAGCTGGATTTATTGTTATGATCCTGAAACTAAGAGACAGTCTGCTGTCTGGGTGTTACCTTCCGAGGAGTTGCCAACTAAAGTGAAGAGTTCGAAGCGTGGGAAAAAAGATGGTGGCCTCGTTCTTCGGAAGGACAGGTTTTTGATTTTCTAAGAACTTTTAGTGTCACATTCGTATTGTGAATTTTAAACTGTGTTTTTGCAAAAAAATGTTTGAACTTAAACCTGCATTCTGAATCTTAATTGGGGAGAAATGTAGATGTCTATGTGCCACAGCATCCACTTACCAGCGTAAAATACCCCATACGAGGAGTACCCCAGGGAAGTATCCTTGGTCCATTGTTATTCCTTGTTTATATAAACGATTTACCAAATTATATAAATCAAGATATGGTACTATTTGCAGACGACAGCACTGTGATATTTACAAGAACAAGCAAAAATCAAATGATATCTGACATAAATCAAACACTGGACATAATAATTCAATGGTTAATTAATTTATTAATTAATCTAAATAAAACAAATCTAATGACATTCAGAAACGTGAAAAATAATTTAATAAATATTAATATATGCTACAACGGACAACAAATTAATGTAGTCGAAAATGCAAAATTTTTAGGCCTCAATCTCGATTCAAACTTAAAATGGAGATCTCAAGTGGAAGATATTTGTACTAAACTCAACCGGTTCTCTTATGCTCTGTATAGATTTGGAACCATTGTGAATCAATCTGCCGTCATCACTGCGTACCACGGTTATGTGGAATCAGTGTTAAGGTATGGTGTCATCTTTTGAGGTAACTCTGTAGACAATGAAATGATATTTAGAGCCCAAAAGAGATGTGTAAGGGCCATTGTGAAGTTAAAACAGACGGATAGTTGTAAACCATTTTTTATTAGTCTGAAACTGTTAACACTTCCATGCCTTTATATATATGAGGTAGCCGTTTTTGTTATTACGCATATTTATTTATTTGAGTGCCTATACAGTAAACGTAATAATCACAAAATATGTTTTCCATCAAACAAAACAGCCCAATTTAACAACAGTGTATTTTGTATGGCCCCTCGAATTTATAACCATTTAGCATTACACATTTTGAGATGCTCCAATATAGATAAGTTTAAAATAATATTGAAGCAATTTCTTCTTAATAGGGAATACTACAGTGTGAAAGAATATCTCGAAGACAAATATGAAATTCAATAATTGACTGTTACATGACTGAGAATAACTAAATTGACTTGACTTATATAATATTATCTAAATTGACTTATCGTTATTATTTTTCATTTTGTATCATGTGAACTCCAATTTTAACTAGAGTAGGTTTAAGTAATTTAATATAAAAGTAATAAAATGTGATGGACATTGCATGCCAGCTGGCGGAATATAGCTGTACTAAATGTTTGTTCTATAAGTGATAAACTACGTAAACACCAACTGTATCAACCTATATTCGCAATAAACGATTTGAATTTGACTTTGAATTTGCAGTAGCATCTTCCTGATGGCAACTCGAAATAATTAAACACTGCGTTTGCCTGTGTGACTGTAATGGATGGATGTGTAAAAGATAATCTACCAGGAGCACGTAACCCACTGAGAGGTGAAATTATTAAATCAACAGTAGCATTACAACTATGACAAAAATCCCCCCCTATGAGGCAATCTATGGGGGAGGCCTATGTTCAGCAATGGACTTTAATAGACTGTAATGGATGGATGTATAGAAGATAACCTACCAGGAGTACATGACCCACTGAGAGGTTGATTGATTAAATCAACAGTAACATTACAACTATGACAAAATATCCCACTTATCAGACAATCTATGGGGAAGGCCTATGTTCAGCAGTGGACTTCTGATAGGCTGTATAATTTTAAGATGCTGCACAATTAATTTTATGTTTTAGGTTAAATTAAGAAAAGTTTATCTAAATTTTTTTCTCCTTTTATTATACCAACAATACAATTTCAATATAAAAATATTTTCTTATGTTCCACTAACGTTTGCTAAATATTCATAAACAACAATGAACGTGCGAATTTGTTTCGCTTTGATCTTTATTTTCAGTCCATCATCCATCACTACTTCCGCGTCATCTTTGGCCTTGGTGACATTATCGAAGAATCCGTATCCCTTGTTAAAGCTCTCAGAAAACTCATCATCAGTCTTCCAACTCCATTTACTGTGATCACTTAAGAATTGATTTGCTGCTAAAGTCGTCTCTTTGAAAGAAACAACTTTTAGACCCTTGAACATCCTGCCTAAATCTATATCAATCGTTGAATTCGCTGATTTGTCTAAGTAATTCTCGAATCGAAGCAGTAACGTCGATCCGGACCACGGTTCCAATGTCAGCAAGTGGAGGCCGGTCGGTAAAGAATTCTTCACTCCACTGTACATGTTTCTCAGCGCCAACCAGTCTCTGTACTCCAGATTTTCAGCGTCCGATAGAAAAATAATCGGCGAATAGTGCAATTCGAGGACCTTTTTCCTTTCGGCGATCAATTCGTTCGTATTATCTGGATTTGTGTTAAGGACTCGGTGCCTTCCTCTAACAACCAAGCCTACGCCGTTGGCCTCCTCGTTTAGAGCTTCGCCAACACCGAACGCGTCATCATGGAGAAGTCTCCGATGAAGCATTAATTCAATATTTCCTTCAACCAAAG